GAAAATAAGTGACAAGTAGGTAAGAAAATAAGTAATAAGTAGTGAGTGAGTGTTTGATTGAGTGACTAAGTAAAAAATATGTAAGTAAGTTAGTAATCAATAAATTAATAAGTAAAAAAAATAAATAAAAATGGGGGACAAATATCTAGAAAGGTCGTAATATATTTGTTGTGACCTCAGATTTCTCTGTATTTCAGCAAAATAAACCAAAAAAAAGGGAAAGAAAAGAAAGAAAAACACTGAGACTGTCTGGGACTGAAACTGCTCCTGAGCTGCACCCTGATTCCTCCACAACCAGAGATAAAAAGATAGCAGGAAGCCCAAAGCTGAGGTCTGCATGACACAATGGATTTTTTTTCCCCCCTGCAGCTGGCAGCTCCACACTCTGAGTGTTTCCTGTATAATCTTATCTGGATGTTATCAGTGAAGCAGCTCATTGCACTGAAGGAAGCTGCTCATGTCTGGTCCTTATCAGAGCTGAGACCGAAGCTTTTTGTGTTCACAGAAACTTGACTTGTAAGACTTCGTCAAAACTGCATCTCACTGAGTCAYTATTTGGTTCAAGGTGTTTTTCTAACATACTGCTTTCATTTAATTGGCTTGTCGTTGCAATAAGTGCTCTTGTGCTCCTTTGGGCAATATTTAATTTAGTTGCATTCTTACCTGACAGAGAGACGTGAGGCTTCACGGGGCTTCACTCTGATACACAGCTGTAACTGATGTGAACTTTTGTCGGTTTTAGTCACCTATTAAATACGACTTCTTATTCACTCGGGTCGTTTATTTCCAAAGGCTTGGTTGGCCAGAAACTTAATAGCTGGCCCAGGGTAATATAATTTTAACAGCATTATTAAAAATGGCTGATAAGGCAAATGTAAAAGCTAAATGATTTCTAAAAATGAGTCAGCCTTTGGGAGATGCATGTCATTTTAGATGGAAAGCTATAGCAGAAAATGAAGCACAAACACTTAAAAAATAAAGCATTTTTCGCAGAGCTGAAGTATCCACTCTGATGTAGCTTTTTTTTTCTTTAAAAATGGACAAAAAGAGCAAAAGATCCTGGTAAAATGCGAGACCTTTTCAACCTCAATTTATAACAGGCTTTCAAATGTGCTCTCCTGTTCAGTGAATCTCTAGATGGTGCATTGTGTGGTGTCTATAGACAAAAAAAAAAAAAGCTCAGGAATGACTTTATCTGACACATGTTGACATTTTTTTTCTGCCTGCTCTTAAATCTTTATCAGTATAAGGACAGCCCCTTTCAGCAGTTTACAATCAACATGACAGGATGTGTTAGTTTTTTACGGGCTGCTTTTAATAGATGGCAGATTTTCATTTTATTACTCTGCAGTCTAACTTTAGAGTCAGCTGACATGGTGCCATGTTGTTGTTACAAGGCAGTGTCATGTTCCGGATTCCTCTAAAGGRTCCAAGAGTCACGGTGATGACCTTTGTTGATGGCTTTTAAATTATCCTGTTAAATAATTAAAGCGTGTTGTTTTTGGTGCATTTGTAAAACTGCTGTAGATTCTTCTAGAACATGATAAATCGAAAAACACATAATAAAACGGAAAATTAAATAGACTTATATTGTGTAGTTGAATAGTTCTCTAGTTATTTTATCGTGTCTAAAAAAACAAGCACCTTTGGAGCAGCAAACCCAATTTCATTGAAATGCAAATTATAATGACAATAAAGGTGATTCTGATTCTAATTCTGAAGACATTTTGCTTCTTATCTACATCGCTTTTTTAGTTGGAAAGTAGAGCTCAGAGCTTTATTT